CCCCAAAACCCCAAAACCCCAAAACCCCAAAACCCCTTAACCATAATAATCAGCTTAATTGGAAACTTAATTTTTGATTTGTTAACTAATAAAATAATTTAGCAATTAATGTTTCACAGTTAAGTTTTATTTTAAAGCTAAAGCAGACTGTTTTCCTCAAGTTTTGCTAATTTAAGATCATATTCAAGCATTTCTTCTAGTAACTCTCTCCAAAGAATATTTGGCTCCCATCCTAATTTTTCTTTGATTCTTTGAGGGTTTCCTCTTAAAAAAGGTACTTCGCCTGGTCGATAAAACTATGGATCTATTTCCAATAATATCTTATCAGCATCTCTATCAATAAGCTTCTCATCACTTCCTTCCCCTTTCCATTCTATATTAGTATATCCTGCAACTCTAAATGCCTGCTCTATAAACTCTTTAACACTAACTGTTTCACATGTAGCTATTACAAGATCGTCAGGTTCATCTTGTTTATTAAGTAATTTCCAAAATGCTTGAACATAGTTAAAAGCATGACCCCAATCTCTCTTTGCATAAATATTTCCGACTCTGAGGCGATCTTACAGTCCAATTTTAATTCTAGCAACTGCTTTTGTAATCTTTCGAGTAATGAAAGTTTCTTATCTTAATGGACTCTCATGATTGAAAGTTAGACCAGTGCAAATAAACATTTTGTAAACATTTTTGTAGAACTATACTTGATAGTAATTCGTAATCTTTGAGACAGCGTAGGGAGACATTGGGTTGAAAGGAAAGCCCTCAGTAACTATTGCTTCTCCATTTTTTTATATCACATCTCCAAACATCTCACTAGTTGAAGCATGAAATATTCTCACATTTATCATTTTAAGAGACAATACAGCTTAACAAATATTTGTTAAACCACTGATATTGGTATCCATTGTGACTCCTGGTCCATCGAAAGAGTGTTGAACTTATGATAGAGCAGCAAAGTTATATATTTCATCTGGTTAAGCTTTAGCAATAGCATTATGCATAAACATCTAATCTGTAACATCTCCATAGACTAAAATGATCTTTCTTGCTTTGCTTATTTCAAGTGTTTATAAAAATTCATTGTACTAAAACAGGAATGGAAGTGTCGCGCTATTTTTCCTGACTACTCCATATACAGTATAATCATATTCTTTCTAGTGAAATAAGAGATAAGCGGTCATATATAAGCCATCTTATCCAGTGATACCTGTTAAAAAAGCTGTACGATTTCTACCAACTGGTAATAATGATTAGATATCATCTGGTACAAGACGCTTGGGCCATAATTAAGGATAAAGTTTCTCCATTTTCAATTGCTAAAGGGATGACTTCTAAATAAAAAATTAGTATTTGAATTTAAATATTATTTTAATAATTACTATTAATTTATCATATTTTACGAATTTACAAATAATTTGCACAGAGGGGTTTTGGGGTTTTGGGGTTTTGGGGTTTTGGGGAGATCGGAAGAGCACAC